AGAGTGATCTAATGGTAAAGATTCACTCCAATTTATAACCCATTCAAAGATGATTACGGGTTCTAACCTTGTACTTTTTCTCCCCATCCCCACCCCCAAAAAAAACACTAACATTAGAGAAAGCATAAAAAATAGAACATAAGACAAGTGGGTCTTAAGATATAATTACCGTGTTTGAGAAACAAAAAAGAGATCATGCTGATTTGGGTAATCTAAGGAAGAGATAAGATGATGGTACGTTAGATTCATATGCACCACAGAAAAAAGAGGGAAAGGTACAGACAAAGGTGAAATCGACCCTCACTTCTTCAAATGTCATAGCTGTTTGTCTTGACTTCAGTTAAATTAGGTAAGCATAATTAATATGAAATACTAAGGTATCTTTCTGCAAAGTACCCTAATTTATCTCATAGTTACTAGGCTGGATATTGTCTATGTTGTGCATCTAATTAGCTAGTTTATGACTGCTCTCCATTCTATTCACTATGTAGCTGTTCTTCGTATCTTATGTTATGTGTCTTCTCATTTATCATTAACATTGTATGTTTACTCTAATGTTGATTGGGCAGGTGATCTTACTGACCGACGGTATACCACTGCCTTTGCTTTTCTTTTGAGTGACTCTATTTTATCTTGGCAGAGTAAGAAGGAGATAGTTGTTGCTCGCTCTAATATTGAGGCTGAGTACCGAGCACTTCATGATGCTACTTCCAAGCTCCTTTGGCTTCGATGGCTTTTATAGAATATGGGTGTTTCTCACCAGCCTAGTACGCCTCTTTATTGTGATTATCGCAGTGAAATTTAGATTGTTCGCAACGATGTCTTTTAGGAGCGCACAAAACACATCGAGATTAATTATTATTTTGTATGCCATCACCCACAGGAGGGTATTCTTCATCTTTTTTTGGTTGCTTCAGTTGATCAGTTGACTGATATCTTCACGTAAGCTCATCCACTTGGTCATCACCATGATTTAGTTTGCAAAACTCCAATTGACATCTTCGATCTCACATTGAGTTTGAGGGGGGAATGGTAATGTGTATATGTTTATATATTTATCTTTGTCGCACATCAGTTAGATTATGATATTTTACTATTCTCTCGTAGTATAAACACACGTCCTTATATATATGAAAATATATGCCAAAACAATATCCAGTTGATATTCATTTTTTATTATTTTATTTCACATTTTTTTCATCACGATTAAAATATCCATCTAATAAAATACTCAGCAACTTGAATTTTTATCCTCTATATATTTTTCCCGCAAAAAAAAATACATCACTAATTTCTAGCGTATGTTCACCATTGTCTATATACGATGGTGTACATAGGTTGAGAAAATTTTATCAGATTATGTATTTGATAAAAAAATTTGTCGATATTTTTAAAAAAATAATGAGTAAGAATTAATTTTAAATAATATAATCAAAAAAAAGAAGAAAATAAAATTATTATTTAAGATAATGAAATTGATTTTTTGAGCACTTAAATTTTAACGTTTTATCGTACCTTTAGGCACGAAGTTATGAGTAGTAAACGTACCATTAAAATATAAGTAAGTAAGTGTTTTTTTTTGTGTTGAACCTTAGGGGTATGAGGGTGTAATTTTATTAAAAAATATTTATTTTAGTTAAAATATATATAAATATAACTGAGTAATGAAAATATTTAGTTTAGTTAGAAGATAAACATGATTAAAATGGGGTCTATCCACCAAGCAGGTAAACTTTATGGATATTAGACGGTCTGGCCCATTGGATGCAGACAAACAAAAACAATGACCCATGGCTAACGAACTACCCATGGTGAGGTTTACTTTTTCAGATTGGCGATGTGTTTGGACTTTTAAAGATTATTATGGGAACTCATTTTGTTACGTTATATCATTAATGAAAAAGCAATCTGATAAAGACATCAATTGAAACCTTTTTTTTAATTAATATAAAATATGGGGGGTTCGCATGATAGGGACTTTGATAATCTTATTAACAAACTTTCGAAAGCAAAACCCACTTAGTTACGTCTACTTGCTCTACCCCTTTTTTAACTCACCAAAATTCTGTAATATAGAAACTTGAGTATACATGGGTTGGTGTTACTTGGTTGTATCTATAGGTAAAGAAAGTCTTATTAAAACACCTTTTTTTTTTCCCTTCACATATGCATTGTTGTACTATAATATTATATCACCGGATAATAACTTATGAATTTGTAAAGTAACTTTCTTACCAACTTGTCTATTATTTCATCAGTTTATTTCACTTTAGACTTGATGAAAATGAATTATCCATCTGGTGTTAGTTGTGGAAACACCATGGCCTCATGATGTTTATTTAACAGCCGCCTCCCTCAACTTTTGGTTTTGTAACATTACATTGCATTACAAAATATGCTAAAAGAGGGTTTTGGACCACTAAACCATATCCCCCACTCTATAAGGAATGGATTGTGCAATTAATGCGGCAGAGCATTTAGGTTTGTGAATTGTGGTGGTCCAAAACAGGAGCGGCTACACCTACACCTACACAGGAGGACTCACACAAAAACACTGCTGAACATAAATTCACAGTAGAAGACGACGACGACGACGACGACAGATTTTATCCACGTAATAGGTGCCCGTCTAGGCCTAAAGGGTTGGTATCGGGCCGGTCCAACACAGCCCATTGTAATGCATGCCTACGGGCCAACTCGTTAAGGTGTAAATGGGCCAAACACCCTCAACAATTGATAGTGTGTTTGCTCTCGATCGAATATTTCATGGTGGCAGATCCTTATTACATGACTATTTGAGTTTTTAATTCTACTAGAATTACATTTCACATCTTCAACTTTATTTTCACTTTATCTTAAAATTAAATAAATCTAAGGGTTTTATTTGGTGGTCAAAAGGAAGGAGTAGTAAGGCTAGAGAGCGGGCTTGGGAAAGAGGCAATCAGGTGGTTTTGTTTCATTTTTGAGGACCTTTGTGGGATTCTAATCGTGTCATTCCTCTTTGGCATTAGTGCTCATTTTTGTAGCCACAATCCTTCTATAGTTGTTATGTTTTCTTCGACGGTTCCTTCCTTAATAACTTTCTTTCCAAAAAGCCCTAGTAACTTGTCACTAGTACGTATTGTATAAATGCCGTTCCCTGAATTTCGAAAGGCAGGGTAACCGGCCATGATTCCTTTCTTGATAACTTCTGTAATTGGGGTTGGGGTGGGGGTTATTCCCACTCTAAAAATATTCATCCCCACCCCCATTAAATCCCTTATTGTAAAACTGCTAAGCACACCCCCTATACTGTCTAAACCCACCAAAACTATTAAATATATTTATATCATCCCGTCAAAAACTCAACTTTCTAGCAATGACCATGAAGGTTAACTTAGGTTTGGGCCATCTAAGAACAGAGATGAACTCTACTCTCTTATCATTTTTAACGAAATAGAAACAACCTAAGAGAAGCAAGTCCGCCTACAGAATGTGTAGAAATGGTTTAATACGCGAAACAACACACTGACCATTTGAAGTTTGTTGTAATCCCCTACAGGTACCCACTACCATTAAATCGGTGGACACAAAATCCTAAAATAGATAAGTAAACTGTTAGTTGATAAGCTTGGTATTTGATTGGTAAAGCACTATGGGATTCATTTTCTGGGAAGGTACATTAATGCTGTTCTGGAGGGAAAGAGGGGCGGGGGGTGGTCATTTGTTTTGTGGTATATCTCGAGGGGTGGTAAGCATATATTTACCAACATAATGGGGGTGAGTTTAGCAATTGATGGGGTAGGGTAGGGATAACAAGGGGTGGGCTTAGCAATTGCCCCCACACCCTATCCATCACCTAGCCATATCAGGTTGCATCTACGATTGTGCAGAGATGTTCCTCAATATCATGATGTTTCAGTAGAGAGGTGATCAAAACTTCCTGCTGATTACATGCGTTCAAAAAGGCAGTGCAATTTACAAGTTTCGGTTTAAAGTCACCAAATCACCAAAGAGATATAAGAATGAGATCACTTGGTGCCGCCTCCCATTGAGCAGCCCATCCTTTCTTCAAAATCAATTCAAAATGTCTAATATCTTCTACAACAGCTCTTACTTCCCATTGTGGCACTCCTTTACTATTTCACGAACCTCAATGCCAACCAAATATGCGTGTGTGTTTGTTTTAGACAGGAAAATTTTGACTGTTTGTTTCAGACCCATGAATTGAGTGATCACATTGTATATGCCCATAAATGGATGGAATAGTTGGTGGTTATTTTCTTATGCATTAGGGGGGGGGGGGGGAGAGAGAGAGAGAGGAGTGGCATAAATTTGAACAGACGCACCTCTTGGAGGGCTCATGATTGTATTAGCAAACCTAACCAAGGTTGTGTTGATTCATTTGAACAGGTGTCTTAGGTGTCTAAATATCAACAAATGAGTACCTTGAAGATAGTACCATTCATACTCACTCTAATCAGGCACTTTGACACCGTATTTTCTCTCCTTCTGCATCCCTTGAATTTCTCTCCTAGGATTTCATGTGATCTAATGTATCATCTTGCAAACACTAACTAATACACGTGAAGTACACAAACTCAATTATGCGAACAGAAGCTCATACATTTGCAAGCCATTTTCTAAGAACGCCCAAAGATTCCTCTTTTACCTATTCCCTAAAATCTCTATTTAAATCTCTTGTTTTTCAAAAGTGTTTTACAAAACTCCCTGTCCAAACAGATTTTAACATGTTTTTTGTATCCGAAAACAGAAAACACGTTTTTCAGATACAATCCAAACACCACCTCATTTTTTCCCTCCCCACTTTCAAAACTTCTCATAAGTTCACTTATCTCAAAAACTCAAACTCCTCGTGGCATGGTTCTAGGTTTCGATATCGACAATCAATTCGAAGAGTTCTAAGACACATCAATTACAGCGTCGTATTGCGGTGTAGCATAACACACCGTGTCATGGTCTTGATTTGAAAGGTCTCAAGTCAGATGTGACTCAACCGACTAATATAGGTATCGTCGATACCTTGAACCATGCCATCATAAAGCTAAAACTATATACATTACGCCATCAATTTATCAGAAACCACAACAAAATCCACCAAGATATCGAATTCAAAACATAAACACCATCGCATTACACAAAATTCAACAAAACCCAATTACAATCTAAAAAGCTGCAACAACAATAGTGAAAATTTGGATTTACCTCAATCAAAGACTGGCCGTTTGAGATTGTGGAACCACATAATCCACTACCAACACACTGTCAAGCAAATCCCTCACTTTCTCCTTCTGCTCATTGACAAGCTCAGCATTCGAATCCAATTCTTCCAATTCACTCAATCCCGGAAAAACCCCAATTGATCCGATCGAATACCCCTTGGCTCTATCCGGCGAGAAATTTTCCCCAAAACTAAGCTGATCAATTAATCCAAATTTACTTTTCAGTCCTCCGATAACACCCAAAATTTTCTCTTTTTCATTTTCTTCTAAACCTTCCTTCAATTTCAACAAAGAAACTCTCATTGCCGAACCGGGTTTCACGACCACCGGACAAGTGACGTCATCGTTCACCCAGTCGAAGGCCATGATGTCGTCGACGATCGGTTTGACGAATTCGTTGACGACGCCCACGTGGCTGGGGTGTGCGGAATAGTCGGCGAGGTCGGTTTTGGATTTATAGCGAGTGTGGAGGATGTGAGTGAAGGAGAGGGATTGGGATCGGGTGCGAAGGAGTGGACCGGCGGTGAGGTGGAGCACTTGGTTGAGTGAAGTGAGGCTGTTGAGGCCGTTGACCATTGCGTTAATTCGGGTGGGTTCGGCGCTGGGCTTGGCTTTGAAGAGGACGACGTGTTCGATGATGTGGTGGTTGGGTGTGGTTGAGGTTGACATAGTGATTGACGGAGGCGTTACGGTGGTTTGAGGTTTGAAGCGGCGGCGGAGGAGGTGGAGGGGTTTGAGAGGAGGGAGGGAAGAGAGAGAGAGTGGTGATAATAAGTAGCTACGGGCTCTGGAACATAGCATTGTAAGGGGGAGGAGGGGAGTGGCGTGGTGCTTGATGGTGATGGATGCGGTGACGTTCAACTCGAGAGTATGGGATTTGGTTTCGAGTTCGAATTCTCTCCTATTAATTTTTTTTTAAAAGAAAAAATTAGAAGGAAATACACCCGAATAGACTAAATTATAAAAAAAATAAATAGAAAAAAATATTGAGTAATTAAGTCCTTAATTTTAATATTTATTTGTATCTAAGTACATTATTTGAATTTTAATAATTTTTTTGTGATATTTTTGCCCTCCATTAATCTATGTGTATTTAATGCACCACTTTTCAAAGAAAAGTGGTGCATTAAACATCTCATAATTTTATGAGAAAATTTTAATGCATATATATATATTTATGTATGTATGCATATAATTGTTATTAAATCTCTTATCTAATTTTTAAATTATTTTTTAATGCACATTCATTTATGCATTTTTTTTTTTGAAAAGTGATTTTATTTTCAAATTAATTTAATATTCGAATAGTGTAATAGTGTAACAATAATAGCGTGAGAATAAAAGTGTAATAATATAACAATAAAAATATAACAATGTAACACTAACTGTATAACAATAACAGTGTAACAAGCTATTTACACAAAATATTGTACAATTATATTTTTTCAAACATATAGTTTCATATAATTTCATTCAAAATAGTACATCTCCGTTTTGAATTTGTTACCAGTTACCACATACACAAAATTAGTAAACACTATTTTTGTTACAGTATATTTGTTACACTGTTATTATTATATTATTATATTATTCGAATATTAAATTAATTTGAAAATAAAACTATTTTCCAAAAAAAAAAAAAACTCTTGAATCAAGGTGCATTAAATATAATTTGAAAACAAAATTACTTTCCAAAAAAAAAATACACATAAATCAAGGTTTATTAAAGATAATTCAAAATTTAAATAAGATATTTAGCAAAATTTATATACAAATATGTGTGTGTGTATATATATATATATATACACACATATTTACATGTATTAATAAATACACATGAATCAAAATACATTAATACGTATTTATATGTATTAACAAACACACATAAATCAAGGTGCATTAAAGATAAAAAATTTAAATTAAATGACCCTAAAATGAGCATTTATGTCTTTGTAACTCAACTATGTACTTTTTTTCAAAATATTTTATTTTATGTATTTTTTGTCAAATAAATCTAATTAAGTATACCAACTTTGAAAGAAACTTTTTTTAAAAAAAGTGATATTATTCTTCACAACAACATTGTTTTACACAAATAATATTATATTATTATGTGGCCCATAGGCCTTCTTCTTAAGCAATCAGCCCATAATGCAAATTGACAAGTAACAGAATCATCATGTTACACAATTTTTGTTTCAGTTATATTAGTGAGCTAAGTGATTCTATTCCACCTTTATCATTCGTTTTCTAGTAATTCCATTCCATCTTTCAATATACCACATACATTTTAAAAAATATTAATACGATTTGAATTTAAAAATTTGATCTAATTTGCTGACATAATGACGTGACTTCAGTAGAACCATTGGATCAACACCAAGTTTTAATGTTTAATGAGCTCCACAGTCAATCTAAAAGTCATAAAGAATTAAGTCAGCAAATTAGGCCAGTAAATTAGGTTCCAATAACATTTCTCTTAAAAAAAATAGATTTTTCCTAGTAGGCTTTCTTTGTTAGAGTTACCTCGTTTTTATCCTTAGTAACGGTCAGTTAGAACCGCCGTTAATACCCAATTCACTTTTTATTGTATCATATTTAGTGATTGATTGTCACTAATTCCTAATCCACTCTTTATTGTACCGTATTTAATAGTAAGTGATTCCTTCCCTTTAGCGGTGGTCAGTTAGAGCCGCTACTAATCCATGATCCACTCTTTGGAGTATTGTAATTAGTACTATGTGATTCCTCTCCTAATCCCTGATCTACTCTTTATTGTACCACTTGTAGTAGTAAATGATCCCTCATGGGCATATATACTACATTTCCTTTGGTTAATGAAACTTACTTACTTATCGAAAAAAATGATTCCTCCCCTTTAGCGGCATGGTGTCAAAGTTGTTTCATCTTAAATTCATTGTACTGTATTTAGTAGGAAGTGATTCTTACCACTTATAAGATGCCTCACAATTACTAGGGTTGGAAAATTGGAGTAAATAAGTAGAGTCAAGCTAAGTAGTAGTAGGTTGTTCAAACTCCATGCGAATCTTGTCGATCTCTGAACGAAGTTAAAATTTGGGTCACTTACCTCAAATCAATTAGATGGGTCACAAAAAGAGCATTATCTTGCAATGAAAAAGACATGATTTGTTTATGTGGGTGTATAAATTAAGACCTATCCACTTAAATATAAGAGAAGTGTTTAACTGCGGTAATAATTCTTACTTAAAGTGACAACAACACATTTGTTGCTAAAGGTATATACACATTCGTCAATTATTCCTTTGGTTGGATTGTTTTATTGGTAGATTTCTGTCGGGAGTCAACTTAATTGACTACTTTTGTGTCGGATTTATGTTGTGTCAACTTGTTATGTTGAAAGTTGTCACCGCTAGGCATGCTGCATTCTCTTTGATCCGTAATTGCCCTATTCTAATCGTACTGTACTGACAGCAAACTTCAAGCAAATTCCCTCAAGTTGCATGTGCTGGCCAGAGGTTCTTTGGCCAAGATAAAGAGGAAGAGAAGATTGAAGGCATTAATGAGATCACCGGAGGAGACGCTTGAGAGGCGAGGAAAGAGAAGATGCAGATACAAAAGAGTGTGCGGGCTCTCATACACAGATTTGTTAGTGATGAACTATTTGTTTTGTTGGACTTTCATTGAAGAATAGGGCAAGCTCATGCTAGGGTCACCAAGATGGTTTTTTGGATTTTATTTATGTTTTGTCGAATCAAAATTTAAGTAGTAATTCTGATTTAGCATTATGGCTGCGTGGATTTTAATATCCTATTTTAATTTATTTTTTTTGTTGCTCGATTGCACCCGCCACCTTTTGACAAGTTTTAGTTGAATTCAATCAATGAGTTATGCAAAATAAAAACTCGTGAAAAATCAAAAGACGCACAAATGATTTTCTAAAATTTAATATTATTATTTGTTATTTAAATTAAGTATTGTTATTGATTGGACCACATTGATACCTATGTAGAAAAACTTGAAGTCTACATCATCTAAAAATTGAATATCTCCAATAAAATTTGAAAAAAATGCATGGATTTTCGCTAAAAACAATTATCTTTCTAATGTGGGAAAATATAAAGCCATTACCTTAATACCATTTCTAGTTTAATAGTAATAACTACAGTAATACTCCAGTATCTTATTTGTCCTTTTTCAGAAAGTAAATTTATTTGCTAGATCCACCAGTATCTTAGCTAATATAACATTCATAGGAATTTTAATTCGAAATTAAAATTCCTAAGATTTAATAAAGTTGGTTAGGATGAGAAATAACTTACCAAAATATGCAGTTCCACAACTCATCTAATTATGATTTGAGCTAGATTTTTAAAGAAATTATGAGTTGTTGCTTACTTCGTAGTTTCTGTATTTATTACGGGAATCAACCCAACCAAATCCCAAACATTTTAAACCTCAACAAACCTTATAAATCTAAAGATCGATAATTCTTAGCATGACTTGTTAACCGGAAATGAAATTAATACAAGATATCAAGTATAAATGAGGTTAGTTTTAGCAAGTTTTGATGATAACCGAGTGTTTGCGTAGCAAATAGTAGACATGAATTCGATTACAACGGACTTAGTTATTCTTGACATGAAAGTAATTCTATATGGCTATAAATAAATCTGATATGAATTGAACATATTTTACCAAAAGAAGATTTAGATGCGAGAAGAACATCACATAACATGACACACTGCTCGCACTACTTTACGCCTAAGCGGATGAGTTATACCACCAAAAAGTTTACAAAGAACAAGCCAAAAAAAGGGAAGGAAAAAAAAAAAAAAGATTTCATTAACAAGTTACCAAAAAATGAAACGTGTTAACATTAATTGGCTCAGTTGGCACTCAAAAACTTGTGAAACCTCAGCACTGATTGTATTTACCTAAAAAGAGACTTTCGAGTGAACGTTAGAGGGAGAAAAGAAAGTGATTTGGAAAGCACTTGAGGCGTTACTGACACAAGGCACACATGCAGATTACTGTAATCAACAAACGTTTTGGAGCTAAGTGTGTAGAATAATCCTGCCTTCATCACCAACATAACCCTCTTGCGTGCTCTCTCTCTCTCTCTCTAGGAAAGAAGAGTGCTTCTTCTTACTTGAAGCAAACAAGTGGTCAGAAGAATCGGAACGGCATTGCATGGATTCAGGTGAGGTTCCAGAGATCTCAAAGGGCTTTGATTTAGTTTCATTTTTGCATGATGTTAACAAGTTTTTCTTTGTTTAAGCAAGAGATTTGGTTAACAAGATGCATTGCTTACTTATGACTTGAACATTCTTTGCTCTGTGATACAGGTAGTTAACAAGATTCTGATAGGATTTTTTTTCCTTTTGGAAAGTAATTCTGACAAGATATTGTGGTTAGGGTTCATTTCTTTTCAAGAAAAAACCGGTGCTATCATTGTTCTTTGGAACGATCCTGGCTGGTATTACTTGAGTTAAAAAGAGCCCAAATCTCAAAACATTAACAAGAAATCTTGTTTACACAAGTCATTAGTAATTAGTACTTGATGATCAGTTTGTCTTTTATTCTTTTTTAAGTTGATTTTATTTAATAGAATTTCCTTAAATGTTATATGTATATATGGGTGTGTTTGTTCTAATAAGATTTGCAGATCTGATGAACCTTATGCTCTTAACTCTACGTGATGTATGAGGAGGACCTAGAATAATTCATTTTCAAGATCTGAGGAATGGCTATCAGAAGAATCTTTCATCTTTCATCTCGAAGAATCGAGGATTTATTCTTTTAGCGTTTGTTGATTCAATCATTCAAGCATGCATGAGTGTTTCTAGTTCTGATGTTTGACTTCAGTTCTATCATAATATTTGCTTATGTAATTTAGTATTATACGAGAAATTGACTTGGTAATTTTTTATAGACTTGTCACACATGTCCTCTTTAACTCGTCTCCTCCAACATTATTCACATGACAATAGAGTCATTTAAAAAAAAAAAAAGGGTATCTGATATAAAGGGAGAGATATCTATCTGTAACTACATCAAAAATGGCCTTTAAATCCACTCTTTAAACGACAAATGATTTCCTTCCATTATTGAAGATACTATTCTTTCCATTCTAAATCATTTTATGATAACTAAATTTGGGAATTATGTTCCCAACTTACAGTCCAAACACACCCGCCACTAATTCTATTTAATCTTTTCTACACTATTGCTCATATTTATTATTCTCACATTTAGCGGCGGTTCAATCTTACGTCCAATAAATATTTATCATTTCATCATTTAATATATAACTATACTACAATAGGAAAGAGTTTTGGCGACGAACCATAGAATTAGTTGTAAAAATTTCTTTCCGCAATATAAGCAAAAGCGTCGCAAAATATCAAAATATTTTTTGACAACCTTTTTGTCGTCGAAAGCATCATGTCATACCAAAAATTGAAAAACATATCCCTTCTTCCACACGAAAGTCACCTTTGGCGTCAAAAGTTTTACAGACAAATTTTTGCCTACGACTACAAAATTTGTCGTGAATACCATTCTAATTTTTTATGTTGTACCTTGAAAGTTGTCAAAAAAATAGACTTTTACCGACAAACTAGAAAGTTCGCACAAAAAACATTCTTCTTTTAGAACAATTGAAACTGCTTGAATTTCTCCCAGTACTTTTTCGTACTAATAAAAAATGGTGGCCACTTCTTCAACAATATCAACTTCATTTGTAGTTCTTTTTATGCCATTAAAATCGCCACTAATTTTATTATCCTGCATTCTACTAATTTAGAAGCACTTGGTCCTTCACCTTTAGTGGTGTTTAGAATTGTCACCCTATCATGCTTACCCTAGTCCCTACTTTAATTAGCGGCGGTCAATCTTTCTACTAGCCTTTTTTTTTTTTGGTCGCTAAAACTTGATTGAAGTTTTACCCTTGGCGGCGATTCATAAAACCGTGGTTAATATAGTTAAATAAGTTCAATAAATCACTATTATAGGCGATCCAAACCGACAACTAGTGATTAACATCCAGAACTAGAGATGAAACGATTCACATAATCATTTATGAATGTATGTACACATGTTGAGTAGAGAGTACCTAGTAATAGCATTTTCAATCCTCAAAACAGTTATTTGTATATCAGAGAAAACAGTATCTTCTACTTGAACTCTTTCTTTCATTTTGTCTACAATCAATGAAACATTCCATGTAACTGAATTCTTCTTCTCATAGGTGGAAAAAATATTTGATGCTTAAATTTATAGCTAGAGTTCATGAATCTTAATCTAATGGTTTTGTTGAGTTCCCTTGATTTCAATATGTGTTTATTTCAGGCAAGAAAACAGTAGAAACAGCAAGTCCTCTGATGATTTTCAGAAGAGCTGTTCAGAAATCTCCAGAGAGAAATGCTGGAAGAGATGTTCTTCCAAAGGATCCAGTCATGGTTGATATGAAAGAGTTCTTGGGCATAGTGAGTTGCCCCATATGTAAGAAACACTGTAAGGAGGCTTTCACAATTAATGTCTGCCTGCATACTTGTAAGCTTCGATCTCTACATTTTTACTGATTTCCACATTTGCAGATTTTACTTATTGTTGTTGTTATGATCTTAGTTCCTACTTGTTTACAGTTTGTAAATGAGACAGCGATTCACAAGTCGAGTCGGTTTCAGGCTTCCAAAATGTGTAGAAATATTTCTTTAGAAGCCATGTATTTATACATAACTTCTGATTGATTATGTAGCAGAAACATTTTCCTTTACTTCTGGCTTCTTTTATTTTGTTTCAAGGTTAGTATCTAATTAAAAATTTCATGTTGGACAGACACATGCCATTCATTTGGTACCCTGGTAACACTTGTTTTCAGCATTTTCTTGTTTTCTTGCTTTTTTAAAATTCTTTTTTTGAGTGATGTTTGTTTTTCATAGACTTGCTTGCTTTTTGCCAGTTTAGTCGCATGTATAGAAGCACTTAGATATCTGTGTTTAACTACATTATTTATATACTAAGATTCATATAAGATTATTTATGTGATAAAGTGATCAAATATGGTTTTGATGTCATGATAAATTGCTTTTTTACTTGGAAAAAATCATTTAAAAATAGTGTTACCTAACACAATAGCTTATTTAATTAGATTTCTGAAAATACCCATATTTTGTTCATCTAATGATTTACTAGTTTTTTCAAGTTCACCCTGTGACTTAAAGTATGGATATATCTTTTTGTATGTTGAAATATTAGAACATTGAAACCAATTGAATCTGTAGTCAAGAAAATAGCTAGATTTGCATATTGAGAGAAGAAAAATAAACACGTAGACTTGATGTGTTTAGAACATAAGTGAATATGTAAGATTATGTTTAGTGAATCGTGGGTGATAACCAAATCATATTCAACCTTTGCTTGGTGTGATGCAAGGAAATTGTAACTGTAACAGACTTAGAGTTGTTCATTCATGTTTTCTCCTAATTAAATGCTGGAAACGGACTTTTATAACTCAGGCAAAATAAAACAAAATGAAGATGAGAATAGTTAAGAAAAAAAACTGTGCAATCAGAGAACTAATGTTTTACATTCCTATCTATGACTATCCCTTTGTGTTTTGCAGTTTGCAAGGACTGCATAATTCCGAAACTTGAAGAGTTTAAAACCAAACGCTGTCCAGTATGCGAAAAAGTCCTAGGTCCCTCTCCTGAAAAATATCTAAGGTGAGTTCACACTTTTCTGCAGTCTCTCTCTCTCTAAGAATAGAGCCACAAACAAGCCAGACTAATGACATACTACATTTACTTCAATGTTTTTAAGTTATTTTTCCCTCCAATTGTTCACTAACATGTAAAGGTACTCGAAACGAGCTAATTTGTCAACTTTTCAGACCTGATAAGCAACTGCAAGGTATTATAGATGAAGTTATCAAGGCTGCGAAAAGAGCTGCAGGAACCAAAACATCACAAGCTGAGAACACGAAGCTGGAAATTGCTGAGTCCAGCGCACAGGCTACAAAACCATTGCTGGAGAATGTAGGTTTTCCAGAGGAAATCGGAGAAAATTTTGCTAAAGATACTGAAGATGCAGGGAAAAAAGGTAAAAAACCTAAGGGAAAGAAGAAGAATAAACGACGAATGAAAGAAAAAGCTCGTCAAGTATCATCTAGCCAAGAAAAAGGCAAAGGGAAGGTGGAACCTACTAATGTTGAAGAAGAAAATTCAGAGGACAAATCATCTGGAATTGAGGGAAATGCTGGTGTTAGAGAACTACTTTTCGATGTGGCACAAAAGACAACTCGATCCTTTTGGGTTTCTTTTATTCCCCAAGAAGACGAGTAAGTAAAAACTGTCCAAAATATCCTAGAAAATATATTTGGTGCTCTTGAGTTTCTCAATAGATCTCATAAAACAGTTCTCTCCTACCTGTTTTAGGGATGGCCATAAGTACCCTTCGCTGGACAAAGCCTACATCCGTCTCAAGTAAGTTTGATTTAATGATTCATACAGACGTGCACATGCATTCACATCAAAACAAATTCAAAACTTCTCTGCTCATCAAACATTGCGAGACTGCAATCCATGAACTAGGGCATCACTATTTCTGTAATTTTTAGAATATTCTCTCATTGTGTAGCCAAGAGATTAGTATTGGAGTTCGTGTGCAAGACAAGTATAGTCTGATATCAATCCAATTACTTATTAGGTTCAGATAGCTTATGTTTCATCAACTTATGATCTCTAGGAGGACAAAACTAGAAGATTTATGTTTTTTTGTTCAAATTTCCTCTGTTACTAAAAAATGAGGCAACTAATTTGCCATCTATTTGCAGGGACCAAGACATGACAGTGTCTACCATCCGCAAATACCTCAAGCAGAAGCTGAATCTAATGGACGAATCAGAGGTAAAGTTTTACGTACATTGGTTATTTATTGCATATTAGTGTAGATATGAAGAATGTGACAATTTTCCATGCATCCAAACAATACAAAGGCATGTTAGAGTGGTGTTTTAGGCAGTTAATCCGATTGAGGAGACATATATAGTTCATACTTCTTCAAAACAAAGGGTTTTGCTGTTTTGGAATAACAGTTAGCGGAGCTAAGTGCTGCATGATTTATTTCCAAAACCTGCATAATCATAAATAGATCATCTTATTTGATTTCAAGTAACAATGGCCCACTTCAAGTAAATGCTAAGATCATCCACTTTCCCCTTTTCACATTCAAAAAGGATTCAAACCTCATCAGCTATCATGGCATTAAAACAAACATTAACAAACAAAAGCACATTATGTCCCCAGCTACACACACACAAAGAATTGGACAGATTGTCTGGTAAGAAATTGATATTTAGACTGTTTGAAAACAATAGTAGTGAAAATAGTTGTGGAACAAATTGTACAGGTTAGTGGAGAAAAAGTAGCAGGGATTTCTTGTTGTAGAGAATAACATTGTTGACACGTTTGTGCAGGTGGATGTCCATTGCTGTGGTCTAAAATTGAATGCAAATCTGACCCTAATGGACATAGAGCACCTCTGGCTAAAATACAGGGTGCCGGACCATGCCAAAGCCAAAGCGAAGTGGGATGTGAAGGAAATTGTGATGGAGCTGGGTTATAGCAGAAACAAGGAATTCAAAGTCCCAAAGGAGAACTAGCATGTTTTATAAATGTGTCAAGCTATGAAACCTTCTAGCGTAAGTTGCAGCCATTTAATTACTTGCATCAGCCTTTTAATTACTTGCATTTACAATATCAGACACATGTACTTGGTAAATTTGCATTCGGGTTTAGACTGCTTCTGCATAAGCAGATCTCTGTTGCATTTTAAATCTGTTATGCTGCCAACAATGCTTGTGGCTTTCTTTGATCATTCTACTGCTGAATGATAAGAATTTCAGGTCTTTAAGCATAAGGGTTATATCTCACACCTAGTAGTGTGTTATATGTCATTGTAGTTTTCAGTGTTTCGATTGCTTTAGCTTAGTCTCTGGGGGTGTATTGAATTTCGGTATATGTAATCTTCAAACCTCTTTATGATATTAGACATAAAGTTGCTCAAGCGGCCTTACAAGAAGGGCATCTCGTGGGTCACTTGAGCAGCACGTGGTCTAATTTTGTCTGAAAGTTGGACAGCGATAGATTGGGGGACAGAAACTAAAATTCAATACTTCAAGTACCTACCAAAGTTGATGAAATTCAAACGTTGGGGACTAAAAGGACACAGATGACAGAACCAATCCATTCGGGAGTCGGGAATAATTATTCATGTACCTCATCTTGGTTTGGAATGGTTTACATTGTTTTTCCTTCTTTTATGCTGTGGAAAAAAGTTTTCTGCTTACTGCATATATTGCATGTTTCCTGAGTTAAATGCTTGGCAGATGAATACATCGCGATCAGAAGCAGGGGCAGAGCCAGAAATTATATCTAAGGTGGGCAATTTACTAAAAAGTTTTAATTTTTTTTTCTTCTAATCAATAAAAATAAAATAATGTATTCAAATTTATTATATTTTATTCGATACTTAAAAATTCATAAAATATAAAAATGGTGAAACTTTGATAAATATAGCATACAAACAAAAACAAACAAAAAGAGGGGCTAATTATACCCCTTCATAACAAATGAAGTAAACTGCATAAAAGATACTATAATATTTCTCCATTTATATGATCAAACTATTAGTCATTGATCACTCATTAATTAAGTAACCTAATT